AGGAACTGATGGCGATGTTCAGTAAATCCCCGGAGACGCCAGACACGTTGCAAGAATGGATCATCCATGAAAAAACATCACTTTCAGATTTTGTTTCAATACCAAATCTGTATTGCCACTTTATAGATGTCTCTTTACATCCTTCTTTTTTCTATATTTTGGCTGATCTAAGGTCTATTTGTGGCTTCTTGTAAATGAAGTTTAGGGGAATGTGATTTATATAACTATTAAAATGACTGCTTGGTTTTCTTCTATTTTTTGTGGCAACTGAGGCATAACTAAAGAGAGCAGGAACTTACAGAAAATATTTATGGACCGATGCATATTCTAGGGGATAAAGTACATTATTTTCCATACCATTTCACTAATGAAGTCTACATGGATGTGCTAAAAGATGGCAGTCACAGCCAATGAGCAGAGATGTGCTTATAGGTGATAATAAAGAGGTAACGTAATGTACAGTGATAATAGAGATGTATCATACATATGGCACTAAGGCATATTATATATATTATTTTTTATATACACACATATATATACATGCTGTTCTCTTGTAATTTGCGTTCTAGAGATAATCTTGCTTCCAGCTAGGAAATACATTTTAATAGTTCTTTGATTTGGGCTTATCTAGAAGAACAGAACGCTGAGCATGCACCCCCCTTCTTGCTATGCCAGAACGTTAAGATGCAATATTTATTTATTTATTTAGCTGCAATTTTATACATGATGTCACATTCTGTATTTCAGATTGTCAATGGGTATTTTGTGCATTACTTTGCACCCCGTGAAATGCCAGTGTTTCCCAAAAATGTCATCTTCGTTATAGATCGAAGTGGCTCCATGGCAGGCCGAAAAATTGAACAGGTAACTTACCTCCGAGTACTGACCTCTGCCTGCGTGGGTCACACAGACACCAGCCTTTCAGGGAAGCGACTGGGAATGAATGACACTTTTGAAACACATGCTGGTTTTGTACACAGCAAAATTTTCAGACATATAGAAATGCTTGAAAATACATATGCACAGCTTTAAGCTATTAAAGAGCAACACTTTTCTGATATGGCTGTTCTCACAGGTATCAAACATCAAGGCAGGGAGCACTTTTTCTGTCTCTATCTTTGCCAAATATTTTGCTTCTAATTTTTTTCTTTAACGAAGTTTAAAGAATTAATTTGTCTGTTTTACCTTTATAGATGACTGTGTACATAGCTTTGTTAGAGAGCAGACAAACCCGCTACAGCCCTCAAAGGTGTTTTTTTGTGTCTGTAAGTTAAGTGAATCAGCCATTTCTGATGGTCTCAACCTGCAAAATACCATTAGGACTAAATAAGGGCATTGGGCTGGATCTTGAAGAGTGCTGTAGAGAAACCCCCTTATTACGCTGCAGTTCCAATCCCAGTTCTGGCAGAGAAGTAGAAATATTCAAAGTGAATGTCTTCTCCTTGGAACAGACGAGGGATGCCCTGTTGAAGATTTTGCAAGACCTCCGCCCAGAAGATCATTTCAGCTTTATCACCTTTAACAGCAAAGTGGTGGAGTGGAAGAGCTCTTTGCTGCAAGCCACCGCAGAGAACGTGGCGAGTGCTGCAGGATTCGTGCAAACTCTTTCTGCTAGTGGAGGTACAAGGCACCACCCAGATGCATGTAACCACAAACGTGTGCCCAATATAATATATTGCTTAGAAAGGAATTAGTATTTTTATTAGTCATATAATGCCACAGAACTACCATTAGTGCTCACAAAGCAAGTAAGTTTTTAATACTTATGAGTGATGAGTGGGATAGAAAGGCTGGTTATGGGAGTGGACAGATTGGTGACTACATTCTGATATGGATATATGGAGAGATGGTTACATCACATGTATGAACCATACAAGCCACAGAGTTTTGTTTCGGATTCTTCTAACAGAGGTGGCTGGAAAATTTCCTGATAGTACATTTTTTTCTACAGAAAAATGGCAATTTACTCAACATTTGACAGCAATTTGCTGATTTTTTTAATATCAAGGGTCCCCTTCTAAAATAAAATGCATCCGAAGTTATATTCCTGCGTAAGCCACACTACAGAAACAAAACAGTCAAAATAGGCACGAAGCATTTCAATTGCTGCACCACTCAGCGCGCTTTGTTTTGTTGTTTAGTTTTAAGCACATCTAAAAGGCTGTATCTCCCCTTAATGTTATGCTGTTAGTATTAACGTAGGTTTTCTTGTCCCAGGCGCTAACACCAATGAAGCCCGCCTGTGCCCAGCTCTTTTCTTTGACTTCTCAAATAAGGCTAGGAGACATTTCTTAAATGTAGGTTGACAAATGACAGCGCGTTTATTTAAGCACTTTTTAACGGCTCTAGACACATTTGTATTTCCCATGACGTGTGTGGAAAATGCTCCCAAAAGAATACTCCGGTATTGCCATTGCAATATAATACACCGTAATTAAGCACAGAAGGCTAAACCCCTAAATCCTCATCTCTGAAGGATTACTTCCTGCAGAAAACTTTAAACAGCTCTGCAGATGAAGTGCACCGATCTCTTCAGATGATCATCCTTTCCCGGTGAGTGATGCCAGCTTTCTCATTATAGGCACAGATATCAATCGTGCCCTGCTGACTGCCGTGAGCATGCTGGATAAAGCCGAGAGGCTGCCAGGACGGAGCGTCTCCATGATGATTTTGCTGACAGACGGCCAGCCCACTTCTGGTGAGTAAATACTAGCTGCAGTCCTCTCTCCTTGATTTTTTTTTTTTATCTTTTACACTGCATCCCAGATGTCGATAGACATAGCCTGTGTTTCAGAAGAGCTTCGGTATAAGCAGGCTGGGCTATTGCTGGATCTGCGTCGGAGAGAGGATGATTAGGAGAGGGCTCTGGCAAGGGCTGTAAGAAGTGGTGGCAGAGCCTGCCTGCCCATGAGTACAGGTCCTTTAGCTGGGAACTGTTTTGCTAAATAACATTGGCTTCCCAGTTCATAAACTCGAGGGAATTGTTGGAGATACTCCAGGCACAGCTAAAACGTGAAAGTAAAATACTTAGAGCCGAAACATGGACATTTTAGGACGAGAGGAAATGGCCTCAAATTGTGCCAGGGGAGGTTTAGATTGGACATGAGGAAAAATGTCTTTACTGAAAGAGTGGTTAAACATTGGAACAGGCTGCCCAGGGAAGTGGTTGAGTCACCGTCCCTGGAAGTATTTAAAAGACGTGTAGATGAGGTGCTTAGGGACATGGTTTAGTGGGCATGGTGGTGTTGGGTTGATGGTTGGACTCGATGATCTTAGAGGTCTTTTCCAAGCTTAATGATTCTATGATTTTGCATATATTATGTACGGTCCCATTTGAGAGATATTGCTTCTATTTCTTCACCCTCCTTGCCCCAAACTTGGGATATTTTCAAGGTGCCTCTTGTTTTGTACTCTTTTCCATGTCTAGCTCTTAACTAGTGATCAGCTGTGATAGCACAAACCAGAGAGTTGAGATAGAAATAATGGGTTAAATAAAGAGTGACTCCCAATGCAATGGCACAAACGTCACTTGTTCTGAGCAGGAGTTTGTCTAAGTTTTGTGTGGCACCAGCATCTCTCTGAGGCCAGCAATATTAATTCAACTGTAAGCCCTCTAATAAGACCAGTCTGCCTTTCAGATTGTGTGATCCGTACTGCTTTTGGGGTTGGTTTATTTGTTTGGGTTTTTTAATAAAATTCAGCTCACGGTGCTGCCTGCTCACCACCGCCACAGTGAGTCTCAAATATCCCCGAGCATACTGCACATCGCACATCCACAAGCTGGCTAGTAATCAGGCCGGGGTGGAGTGCCAGGTGAATACGTGCAGCGTTACTGCATACGCTGCCTTCCTTAGAATCATAGGGTCGTAGAATAGTTTGGGTTGGAAGGGACCTCTAAAGGTGATCTAGTCCAACCCCCCTGCCAAGGGCAGGGACATCTTCAACTAGATCAGGTTGCTCAGAGCCCCATCCAACCTGACCTCGAATGTTTCCAGGGATGGGGCATCCACCACCTCTCTGGGCAACTTGGGCCAGTGTTTCACCACCCTCAGCGTAAAAATTCTCTTCCTTAGATCTAGTCTAAGTCTACCCCCCTTTAGTTTCAAGCCATTCCCCCTTGTCCTGTCGCAACAGGCCCTGCTACAGAGTTTGCTGCCATCTTTTTTATAAGCCCCCTTTAAGTACTGATAGGCTGCAATAAGGTCTCCCCAAAGCCTTCTCCTCTCCAGGCTGAACAACCCCAACTCTCTCAGCCTTTCCCACATTTCCTTGGCAAAGCAGGCTGAAAGGGAAAAACCTGAGCTGCTCTCATGATATTGCTACGGGCAGTGACAGTTCCTGCCTGGAAATGTTGATAGAGAAGCTCTCCCTACAGGGCTTTAACCTGCTCTTCAAATGGGATAAGATGATGGTGTGAAAATCTTCTCCCTTTATCGCGCAAAGGGGCTGGGAGGGAAGCAAGGCTGAGTTAATTTGCAGTTTGTCTGAATTACACCGTTAACCAATCCATTCTTTTCTGAATTCACGCATATAATTTTTATGGATGGTACTTGTCTTCCCAAGGCTTGATCAAGTGTTTCCACCCCTTGTGCTGTGAACTTGTAGCGTATGTCCCTTTTATCCTAAAAACCTCCTCTGGCCACTGTAATCTTGTAAAATATTTTGCACTTAGCCATGACGACATGAGTAGAAGTTAGTAAAAGTCATTAAGGGGGAGAATCAGGTTCTGGCACCCCAAATGCAGAGTGGTGCTTTCATCTTCAATTCAATTAATGGAATTCTGTCCCATACATTTTTAATATTTTATTCTGAATTATTTTTAAAAGACTTTAGGCAGAATTTTCCATTAAACCCACTGCTGTCTTTTGGTACTTCAAAAAACCAACAAACAAGGGTACGTTTTTGTTTCAACTACAGGTGAGAGTAACGTGGAAGTAATTCAAGAAAACATTCAGAAAGCAGTCGATGGGAAATATGCTCTTTTCTGCCTTGGCTTTGGGTTTGATGTCAGCTATAAGTTCCTGGAGAAAATGGCCCTAAGCAATGGAGGAATAGCACGTCGTATATATGAAAACGCTGATGCAGCCTTGCAGCTCCAGGTCAGGACTAAGGAAAATGCCCGAAAAGCCATCTATCAGCTACAGCTTATGTCTAGTCTTAGCGGCTAAACCACAGATCTTCTGAGATGAAGAGTTGGGTTTGAGTTTATCTGTTAATTTTGGGGAGGGAGGAAGGCAATTTTGGGGTATCTGAGGGTTTGTACCGTAACCATGACTCACAGTTGAAGTCCTCCTCAAATCAGCTGCATTGGAACAAACCTGGAAACTCACACTTTTATGTACCTCTGCAAACAGACAAACTGTCCGGGGGAGGTGATGGTGGAAAAACTTCTGTTCTTGGTTCCGATTCAAACCGCTTGAAGCACCACCATTGGAAGCTGTTTGTTATGGTTTCCCTAAAAAACAGCGGGTAGTTTGAGGCACCTACAGGCAAACTGGCTCTGCAGTACCACCAGCCTGGGTCTTCCCTGTCCATCTGGAGAGGGGTTATAACTTTCGGGACATTCTCTTTTTTGGGAAGCCACTTCTACCTGTTTTGGCTGGACGTGCAGCAATCGGATTTCCTTAACACCAGCCCCGGTCCAGAAAGAGGAAGGTTAATCCTCAGGATTAGTCCAGTTTAAAAAAATTAGATGTGAAAAGTGGCTAAAGCAAAACACCTAACTGGGTGGGACGGTGATAATGGGGATGCTGCTTGGGTACTTGGGTTACCATACAGTTTATATGGCATCGCCAGCCTGGCTGGAGAAGGTGTGCTGAACCTTGGGAAGAAACATTTAATTTTTTTCTAGGTTTGCAGCAGTCTTACACTGCTGAAGAAAAGCTTCGCTCCCTTCTTTTTAAGGGGGTTTTAGACATTCAACGTATTGCTTTGCATCATTTTGCAGTCATTTGTGTGCGCGCTCTCTCTCTCTCTGCTTCTCTTCAGGGCTTTTATCAAGAGGTGGCTACCCCAATATTAATGAAAATTGAAATGCAGTATCCAGAAAATGCCATTGAGGGATTAACCAAGAACAATTTCAAGCTGTTTTTTGAAGGATCTGAAATTATAGTATCTGGAAAAATTAGCAATGAGCTTGATCTTTTGCCAGTAGAAATTAAAGCTCAGACAGTAAGTGTTTAGTTCACTAACTGTGAAAAACATATCTCCCTTCTGTCTTTTATGGTGCAATAGGAGACTTCAAGAAGTCTTTGTGTGCAATATATGTTCTCTACATTTGGGCATTCAGCTGTTTTCCCATTTTAGGAAAATATTTAAGAATTCAAACAATTTCCCCCTCCTGAATTTGCTGCAAAAGAAAAAACTTGAAGTATATCCAAATAAGCAAACAGCAATTTTAATCCTTTCAAAACCATAACATTTCGGCCTTTCAAACATTTTTAGTAAACTGGTTTGTATTTTTAGAATGAAGAAGGAAATCTGAATTATTCATCTCAAAAATGTTGAAATAGAACAATTTCATTACCTCCTTTTTTCAACACTGTTTCGAGTCCAGAAATATATATCCAAAATACATGCTTCTTTGGTAGTTTGGAGTAGCATTTTCCAATGGGAACGGACAAAATTGAAGGACAAAAAGGGCACTTTGTACTGAAAGATATTCTTTTAAGTCTAATAATGTGACTATAAAAGAAGTCTGGAACTGTTCTTTTGATGGTCAGTTTTCTCCCACTTCAGCACGCTAGCGACTTGACTCTTAAAGAAGCAGCAAATGTCAAAGAGAAGGAGCAAGTATTCCAAAATCAAAGTTACATCTTTGGAAATTTCATAGAGAGACTGTGGGCTTACTTAACCATTCAACAGCTTCTGGAAAAATCGTAAGCTATTTCAATGTTTTGTATTACAAATTTCTAACTTCTTAAAACACAAATTCCTTATTCACAAATTATATGATCGGAAAACACAAAGAAACAGAAATATTTCTGCAGATAGTATTAAAAATGTAGTATACTGGAAGAATACTACATTACTGTATGAGGAACATGAGGTGCCTTTCAGTTTATGATAGCGCTGTATCATTAAATGTGTATATGTATGTACAGACACATATGAAAACATAAGATATTTTCCGTGATATTACTATGAAATAGATTTTAATTGCATGGATTGTGTTGAGTTGCTGTTACACATCCGGAAATAGTGTCTGTAGATAAGTGAATGGCAATAGCTAGTAAAGAGAACAGTAAGTATGTCCGTAAGACATTTCCTAGATCACATTTCTATTATTTTTATCTATTTGCACCGTACATAGGCTCCAGCGTTGCAAACAGTTAAGCATCTCCATAATTTCAAGCACGTGAACAGCCGAGTTATCCCAATAAGACTACTCACCCTTCAATAGTAAAAAATATCTGTTAAGACACAGCTAATACGAAAAGGTATCTGAAGACTATTTGCTTACAGTCTCTACCAGTTATTTCTTCATCACTAACACAGTCTTTAGTATTTCAGCAGAAGAAGAGGACAAGAAAACCCTGGAGGCGCAAGCCTTAGAGCTCTCTCTGCAGTACAACTTCGTTACGCCCCTGACTTCCATGGTGGTCACCAAACCCACTGGCCAGCAGCAGACGGAGCTGGCGAACAAACCCACCGAAGCTGGTAAATGGGGCATCGAACAGCCCCCCCGAAATATGCTGTTGTTGATGATGATTTGTTGTTGACCTCCAGTATAGGTTCATTTTATAGCGATGTGACGGGGTAATAAGCCACATTGGAGGCAGGAGTTCCGGGATTAGCTTCCTTTCAAAATAAAACATACAGGGTTTTATTAAAAGGGGAAGTGGGCACTACTATTGAAATGGAAAATAATTTGTTTAAATATTAACTAAAAGTAATTTAACAGTTTAAAATATAAAATAAAAGTAATTTACCAGTTTTTACTCGGCATCCCTGCCGCTGCAAAGGGATTCTGCGCTTTTCTCTGTAGCATTAAAGTGGAAAAATGAATGCAGGGGAGGAAAGCGTGCCATCGCTAGGAGTCTTGCATGTGCTCTGCTTACTTCCTGTCTTTTAACACAGAGCTGCTCATCTGAAGCCCAACATGCACTTGTCCCAGTTTTCTCCGGTTTGCACATGGGTAAAGTCGTTTAGTGTTGACTGTATGACACTAATCTGTCCCTCTTCCTTGTGTTAGATAATGAGAAGCTCAGCAGTTTTCCAGTAGGAGGTAAATGTTTTCTTCTTTTCCAGTAGCATATTTCCGTAATAGCCTCTAATGAAAAAAAAAAAAAAAAGAGCTCATGGTGGTTGTTCTACAGAGGGAAGTATCTGAGATTTGGAAAAATACGTGAAGCAAAATGTAAGCAATGACTGCCGAGGTCTGTGCAGGGTTTGGGTGGATAACATGGTCAAAGGGAGAAAATCTTCCATTCAGAAAGTCTCAAAGGCCAAAATTGTCTTTGCTCATGAGGAAAAGTAGTTCTTCAAGCGAATGCTGCTGCTGATGTTTTCTGCTTCTTCCTACCATGTGCGAAGCATCTGTCAAAAAATTAAGCCTAAGATATTTTGGAATGACTTCTGAGGATGATTTAGGTATTTTTTTTCTCTCTTTCTGGAAATAATAGATCTGTTTATCAGATTAATAATGCTGGAAGTTTAAAATTAATATTTAATCTCAGCTATGATAATACATCATAATAGCAATGCTTTTATAGGTGAAGAGCCCTGGTTTTGCTCTAGTTCTTTCACAGAAATGTATTGAGGGAATTATAACGCTGCCCCGTCCCCTGAAGGTTACCTGTTTCAAAGTGGCGCTGGGGAGTTTAATAGCAGAAAACTCCCTGACCAGAAGCACGGCCCAGCAACCGTCCTGCCCTGCTCAGGGGGCACGCGGGGCTTGGCGCTGCCCTTCCCTCAAAGCTCCCTTTGGCTGCAAGAGGAGAAGAGTTTGGGGCCACCTCTGCAGCACGACCTGTTTCCGTAGCAGGTGCCAAGCCCTGCGTCGGTGTGATGGTCGGGCAGGCACGGCTGCTCGAGGGCGCAGGGGTGTCCCCACTGGATCTGGGGTTGGTGCCCACCAGAGCATCGCTGAGCACCGTTGCTCCCCGTCGTGATGGACCAGCACAGCTGGGGCGGCCGGGAAGGAGAAGGGGCAAACAGGACGCTGGGCTACTGTGACCAAGGGAGGTTTTGATGTGCCTTTTTGCGTGTTGCTGCAATTTCTTGTGTTGAGCTCATCTGATTCTTAACTGCCAGTAACAGCCCTTGTCTGCGGCTGCAGCGCTCCAGAGGGACCACGTTGTGAGCCCGTGCGGGTGCTGTAGCTCTGCATGGAGCCGGTCCCTTTGCAGAGCCTCCCGTGCCGGCTGTCCCCTTCCACCAGAAGCACCCGCCCTTGCACCGGGGACGGGCAACTCTGCTGCACCGGCACCACCACTCCCCCGCCTCGTCCCCCTGCAGAAGGCGGGTGAGGCCCCAGGCACCTAGCAGGCGATCAGAATCCCTTTTTGCCAATCCCTTCCTCACAAAGTCCTTAGTAGTTTTTGTCCATTTCCATCCTTTAGCTGGAAATATTTTCCAGGGATCAGTGCTCACGTTCTATGGACTTCATTACTGCAGATAGTTTACTTTGAGAAAGGAAGACAGGTGCAGCTGGAGAAGTGCAGATTTGATGTTTGAAACACTCCCGTAAGGTATGTAATACAATAATGAATAAAACACAGATACTCTCTTTTCTTTCTCCAGATGCTTACAGACTGAGGAGTGGATCACCTCCTGGTAAGTGCTCCTCGCTTGTTTTTATTCAGAAAAAATTTATAAAGTTAATTTCATATGTAGGTTCATAGCAATGTTACTTTAATAAATACATTTTGATTGTGGATGTCCACTTGATATACAATTTCATTTTTATTATATGTATTTCAGTCCACAGATATTTTATAATGAACTATAAACTTTTGAAAACAATCTTGGTCCCTTTTCAGAAATAAAAAATTATTACACCTCCTGAAAATAAATGTGAAAGATCTGGAAAAGCATATATTAGTTAGCTGAAGGAAATGGGTGTAAAAAAAATAATTTACCAGTCCTGGGGCTTGCTGCGTGAAGCCAATGTGGGGCACAGCCGTCTGCACAATGACAATGCCTGTCCCGCAAGGGGGAAATCCCAGGGCGCTGCAGAGACAGAGCTCAGCATCGCCACGAGCTCCCACAGCGCAGAGCAGCAAAGGCGCTGGCTGCTGCCTGCGTAGGATCCGCACACGTGCGCTCCTGGCTGTATCCAAAAAAAGTCAGTGGGCAACGAGCGGGAAGGATTCCCTGTTTTAAAGGGTGGGGAGGGAGATGCAAGGTACGATCCAAAACGAACGAAACATTGGAAAAACCTTTTATTTCAGGTCGATGGCGCCCTGAGCCCAAATCTGGCAGCAACAAGAAGCTGTTGTCAGTAGGTAGTTATTCACAGTTGCGTGCGAGAGGAGCTGGGGTGGGCGTGCTGCGGGTTCAGTGCTGCGTAGCAGCCAGTGAAAACGCGGCTCTAAACCCTCCCGCAGCTCAGGCTGAGCATGCCCCAGTGGCACGGTCGGTCCTAAGAGAAACAGGCACTGGACGTTGTGCTTTTTTTTCCTCATTGGGACACCTTGTTTTAAGCAAAGCTCTCTGTAGAAGTCCGTGAAGAGCTCTGCTAAAAAGCTCCTGTCACAGTGTTCTTCCTGGTTAATTAGCCAACTTGGAGAAAAATGTTTCATTAAACTCTTCTTACTAATTTCAAGTATTTCAGTTGTCAGGCTAAGAGACAAAATAAGAGCACAACCTCTTGGTAAGTAATACGTATACTAGTCCCATTTTAATAATTAATATAACTGCAATGTACAGTTTTTCATACAATAACATTTTTTCTGACTGCATCAACTCTGAAAACCCTTTACCTCTTCCTGCAACCCTTGGCTGGTTCTTTCCACGTAAGTGAAAAATACCCCCATATCCCATGAGAGAGCCTCTCTGGCTCGAGGATAGAACACCAACAGAAATGTAGTACAACAAATCTTCAGCCTCAGCTTTTTTAAGGGCTCATTGTCCTTAATAAACTCTAATTTTAAAAATCTGTTGTCTTCCTTCGTATCAAGATGCTGTGTCTGGGTGTGCTTTTCGATAATTATTACTGTGTTGATTTTAATCATTCTATTCTATAAATAGCTATACCTAATATTTTAGGTATAAATTGATTAAGTAATTTTGCTGTGCCTATCCAAAGGGTACAGGCTAGATTTTTCTTTGCATGCTAACGTTGTTCTTCTGGCTTTTCAGCCAACGAATATCCACAGCTTCTCTTGCAATTACCCAAACAAAATGAAATAATCTGTTTAAATACTGATGGAAAATCACAGCCCTCTCTCCACCTGCTGTCAGATCCGGAGCAAGGTGAGTGAGCCAGATTACCCCCGATACCAAGGACAAGGAGAGTCACTTTGGTCTATGAGAGCAGTTGGTGTCTTTGGGAATAACCCCCTTTCGTGAAGGGCCATATCATACCTGCTGCCCTGCAGTGACCGGAGAGGCTGTGGTTAATTTTTTCTTTCTATTAGGCAATATTAATTTTCACTGCGCAACAGCTGAGGGCACTTCTGACAGGTCTGCTTGTGTGTCACCTCCTTCTCCTCCTGGTGTCACATCCCTGGCCTTGAGGATTTTCCCCTGCCCAGCCCCTGGGGGCTTCTGCAGAGACCTTAAACCCCATGGCCCCTACATGCTAACGGAAAGATGCGTGCTTTTAAAGCACCGCACTTTTTCTGTGGTCCTGTACTCAGATGAGTTGTGGCCCCAAGCGCCAGTTGTCAGCTGCTCTGATTGTGGAGCAGAGCCACCCTGTGAGAGGAGGTGGCAACGTGGGGGTAAACAGACTCTGGTGACTCCACTGCAGCCTTGGGGGCATGTGGATCTGAAATCTGGGGGTGCTGGGCCTCCCAAAACTAGATTTGAGACCCTCTGAGACCCTTAAGTAGCAACAAAGCTGAAGCAGTTTTATTAAGATCACTTGTACCTTATAAACATGGTCACTTGACAAATTTGTGTCAATGTTATTAAAGGACTCACTGTGACGGGGAAACTTGAGGACAGAATAAAACACTTTGTGCAGTTTGAAATTACCTACGTGAATCCCCCCGTACGAATCCACGTCTCCACGGATGAGATCGTCCTAAGCCACGATAACGAGAGCACTCGGCTGCCGTGGACGGAGTCAGCCACCTCCACCATCCAGGGGTAAGAAACACCGCCCTGTCCTTTCCCAAACTTGAAAATGTGAGTCAGATCTTTTTTCATCCAGGCCTCCGCTTTCACATTTGTGTCAAGAAAGTGCTTCCAAATGTCCTCATCCAGTGAGTAACTCAGTGTGAGCAGAAGCAGGGTACCTTCACAATCCCCCGTTTCAAATACGGAGAACAAAAAAGGTTTGATTTTCATTCTCCATGCGTGTGTAAGAGAATCAAAACAACTGCACCACCAGCCTGCCTTTCTGCTTCGACGTCAGGGGCAGAACATTTATCTTCCAAAGAGGAGGACGCGCTGCGGCTCATAGCAGCCCCTGTGCCACCGCCGTGCCGGCTGCCACCAGACACTTTGCGTTCCCCCAGCCGCAGGGCGAGTACTGCGAAGCGATGGCTTTGACATTTACTGTCTCTTTTATACATCAGTTGGCTCCACACAGGCTGAAGTTTTCTTTCTCCTCAGTTTTAGCAATAACTCACATCCGGGCAACTGACATTTTTTTATGGGAAGGCATAAAGTGTTTGAATAGCTGTCTGTAACTAAATGCCCGCTGTTGGAGAAAGGGTACTTTCAATGTAGACTTCATTTGTTGGACTAATTAGAGCAGGATCCTCCCCTACCGCAAGAAAGAGCTGAGTATAGCTAGTTCCACCAGCTTTTTTTGCATTGCCGGAATAAACCTCCGGGAGGATCTGCTGTTGGTCTGGAGCAGACAGGACACGCAGCACTCCCTCCCTCGTAGGCAGTTCTAGACAATAACAGAAGCCCTAAAACAACTGCTTTCAATTATTTTTGTAATCCAAACGGAGCCAAGAACATGCTGGATTTATGCCCCTCTATAATTTGTCATCTGCCAAGCAGAATGATCCTCCTGCTTCAAACCAGCACCCGAGCCCTTGCAACCGCAGCGCTTTGTACACCCGCCTGCGTGGATGTGTTTTTGTCTAACCTGATCAGCAAGGGAGAAAAATGGCAGTGGATGTTTGTGTTCTGCAAGCCCACCTGAGGTCAAAATAAAATTAATGGGTTAGAAGAAAGGCAGGGTTCGAAAAAACTTGTGAAATATCCAAGAAAAAAGTATTTGACTTGTTCATAAAATAGATTGAATTATTTTCTCTAGTCTACCTTTTTTCTCATTAAAATGGTGAAAAAACATTCTTTTTTTTCTTCCATCCAAGCATTTCTTGCCATTATGGATAATAAGGTGTTTTCATCAGCAAAAAGTTCTTCTCTGTTGGTGTATTTGCATGTAACCCGATATGGGAAAGGGCTGTTGTGCAGCATAGAGAAAAAACATGCTACTTAATATTTTCTAGCTTAAAAATAATGACCGACAGATCATGAAAAATGCAACTGCAAAGAGACAAAAGGCAAAAATTAAATTATTTTAATTAATTAATGCCAGCTAGTTAAATACATGTTCTTTCTTCATATTCTTCTTGGAAATAACATCGTGATTTACTTCCTAGGCTGAGAGTCTCAGTTGAAAAGGAAAGGAGCGTTACGGCATCATTGTCTGATACAGTCACAGTAAAAATTTCCTTTGTAAAGTTTCCAGATGATTTCCTTGGGCTGTATTTCTTGAACACCAACCATTTTTCTGACAAAGTCAGTGGAGTTCTGGGTGCGTATCATTACGGGTGTAAGCAGCAGAGACAGATGATCTTGCAGCTAAGCTCCTGAAATGAGAATATTTCAGGAGTGGGGGGGGGGGTTCAGCCACATCATAAGCCCTTATTCAGATTTTACTTCCCTGGGGCCTGACAAGCTCTCCTGAAAAGCAGTGGGCAGGCA